ATATTTTGAAACTATTGACTTGCTTGCTGCTCCTGTTACTTGAGAACCCATGGTCAATTTTTTTTTATACTTGTAATAATGGGTTTTTAGAATTAGATTTATGGATATGAATTTAATATCACTTCCTGTGAGGACAGCTTGGTAAAAAGTATAGTGTTCTGGCTTTATAAATCTTCAAAAAGTTATGTGACTTTATAAAAAAAATTATATGCACTTGTTTTTTTAGGTTATTTCGTTTTTCCAAAAAATCAACTTTGGTGTTGTTTTTATGTGTAACATAGTTTTTTTATTAGAAGAGTAATATGGTAGAAGGCAATGTGATATTAAATAGCACTGGAAGTAATAACCAAATCAACTGCATTAACATTAGTAGGATTAGTTTAACATCTTTTTGGTCAATGCTTAACTTTAAGTAACAAAGTACACAAACAACCATCCTAAACCTTTTGACTTGTTGTATTGTATGATTCTTAATTGGTATTAATGGGATAGACTTGTGAAGGTTATTAAGTACAAGTTCTAATAATGCTGAAAATGCTGGGCATATATATACATGAAGTAGCTGTTGGTATATGGTAATTTTAATGCTGTGTTTGCTTTAGTCAAAATGCAGAAAATCAAAAGTGTTACACTATCCACTGCCCAGTTCTCACTACTAAAATGCTGTTGGTATATTCGTTTGAGACATTGATTTCCAATCTCATTTCTTTGGTATTGCTCAAAAAGGGAGAAAAACATAAGCTGATTCATCATGGATACCAAAAGCTTGATCAAAGTATTGTATATAACATATATGATTCTTAAAGGCAGGAAATTGACATGTAAAATCGGCAGAGATTCTCCATGAAATTAAAGCTACAATTTTCACTCACTTTTTCCTTCACTCTCTCTTCATTTCTTTGAATCTCTTTGTACATATTCCTCAATGATAAAAAACTCTTAATACCATAAAATGACCAACAAAGGTGACCCAATATCTACTCATGCATCTACTCACAAAAGAGAGTCCGTGAAGTCCATGTACTTGCACCTAATATGGTAACTTTTGGTACTATACCATCATTCTTATATTTTATTTACAAATCACTTAGTGGCTTCAAAATATGTTTAAATACAAAGACCAACCAAAAGCTGAAAAATAAGAAAACTTAAAGCAAAATAGCAGATTATATTGAAGTTAGCAATATCCAATAAAAATGTTATATGTACAACTCACAACACAACTTTCTGAGCCTCATAAAGTCAAAAGTTGTGGCAGAAGTTATACACATATAATAATAGTATTAATAGTGAATATAGTATGATCTAGCTTAAATTGTGGTAGAACAATGAGCACCCTGGTTGGAACTCATAGGACTTGAAGTCATAAAGGGTCCAAAGGCCATAAAAGAAACACAGTTAACATTGAACCTGTAATGTCCAGAAACCCAAGTTCCAACCTTCCACCGAAGCTTCCCATTAACCTTGAGATTCAAAACTAGTCTTCCAGAACTTTGATCACGACCAACTTCATAACCAATAGATGGAGCAACAGGAACACCATTTCCTACCAAAGAAGCTGTTAAGAGATTACTCTCTTCATTGCTTTGGTAAAAGGGAAGCAAAGATGTGTCACCAGTTATTTGTTGTCCCTTGTATGTTGCATAAACTTGAAACTCATCATAGTAAATGCCAACTTTTTTGTTTGGGTTTTTTGAGAGAAGGGTTAGTTGTATTGAGGAGTTGAGTTTTGGTCCTGAGAAGTTGAGTTGGTAGATATCAACTTGTGTGAGGGAGAATTGAGGCTTTGAAGGGTGGAGGATGAGGTAGATGAGAAGTATGAGTAATATGAGTGTAGTGAAAATTGCAGAGAATGGAAACAAAAGCTTCTTATAGTTCCTCTCCATTCTCAGTGCTTGCTTTTCAGCACAGTGCTTCGGAGAATTTATTGTAATTCGAGACATTTGCAAAAGAGAGATGAGAAATGAAACAATGAAAGTTTACAATTAACTTTAAGGAAGAGAGGGTGGGTTATAAAGAGAGCAAAAAGCAACAATTATTTTGCCTTATCATGCTTTTGGCTGCTAGCTCTAATGAAATGCAAATATGATAAAATTTAATATTCAATAATATATTTTTTATTATAATAAAATTACATTTTTTTTGCCATTAAAAACAAAAGAAATAGATACACTTGTATCTCGATTAATAAATAAGATTATACTTGCTGATTTACATCTAAGGTAAATAATTAGGAAGTACGAATACAAATATGTAGTATGCTATAATATGTGGATACATGGTAAAAGAAATAACAAATGTCAAATAGTCAAAAAGTGTCTACTACAAATATATATTTGAAGAGTAGGTGCATTCTAGGAAAATAGTATATAATTATGGTTGATATGTAGTAATTTGTGGTTAAGATTTTGAGTTACACCATTCCTAATAATTTGTGTTACAGCGAAAGACTCATATGTGATAAATATTCTGTACTAGTGTGTTGTAATTGTTTATAAATTCATGTGCAGAGTCCCTTTGAGATTATGCGAAAATATTGCAGACAATATAGAAATTAAGCTTATACTTGGCTGAATAATTGCAAATAATGAGGCTTCTGTAGCAAACAACTCCACTTGTTTTCTTCAGAGAAAGTTTCTTTCAGACTTAATTTTAAGATATTGATTACTTTATCTTAAAAACCTGGAAAATATCACATTGTGTTGTACATATAATAATATTTTTAATTACAATGATTGAATAGGGAGAACATAATTTGAGTTTTAAATAACATGGCTTAACTATATTATTTTAGTACTCATAGTACAACTGTCTCACATTCAGATTTTTTTTAAAGAAAAGCCTTTAACATTTTTTTATAAAAGAAAAAGGGTAAATGTTCCTTAATTAAACACTTGGGACCCTATACAATGAAATTTTTTATATGGTTAATTTAGTTTATGAGTAATTAGGTGCATCTGAATAAGTTGACACTGCACCATTCCCTACCAATTTATCAACCAAATGTTTTCTTCCATTTGCAAGCAATTAGTTTTAGTGGGACAAGTTAGCCTTTTTATCTGAAATAAATTTGTACACAATACATTCATGGCTCAAAGTCTAACACCAGCAAAAAGTTCACATATGAACTATAGAAGCCTAAAAAATAACCTGGTTGTGTTAATGTAATAGATATTTACATTTATTACTTGCTAGTCTCTTTCCTTAGGCCACTTTGGTCGCTTTCAAACTTTTGCACAATGAGATGATTGACACTACCACATAATGCTAGGAATCAAATATGTGGCAATAACTGTCCCTAATCCAACATGTCTTTTTAGGTGCAGTTAGCTTACTGAGTGAAAATAATCTATTGAGGACAAAACTATGTCTGAACATTTTAAGTGAAAATTGAATTGAATCCACAACCTACTCATGATATTTAATAACTTTATGTATTCAATATAATTTTATTACTTCAATTTGCACTAATCTCAGGGACAAATATATGAAAATCAGGATGAAAGCAGGACCAAGTTAATGTTTTTATGATCTTAGGAACTAGACAGACCTTCATATTATGGATCAAATTGATGTTTTATAACTTTAATTCCTATGTTGACTTAAGCAAAATTGTACCATAATTATTGGAGATAGATGTACAAATAATATTGTTAAATGAAACCTATATCATATGATTCCACAAAGTTTTATATTAAGTGTGGATTGTTTAATACAACATTCACCATTTATCCATCCTTAGTACCGACTATTTGTAGGTTCAAGCATTCATAGGCATGTTTATTGTTAAAGTATACCTACTTCTAAAAAAATAAGAGAAAAAGTATAAAATGAATGTATGAGTCTTATACACTGTCACTGCAACATTTACTCTGTTTTATAATGACATTATATATATGACAGGTCTAATAAAATCAGCAAAAATGTTAAAAGAAGTACATTTAAGTACGCATCTTAGCACCCACAATTGAGTAGGTCCTAGATTCCTGAAATCTCCAAAACACAACCGGTACCCAGTCACTAATATTGAATGCCCTTTTGATACCTAAGATAAAGATGTTTTGGGCATTGTCCATTTAATTGGAGTTTAGCTCCTTTCCAGTAATGGAGAGACCAATTATGTTTTTAGTGCATGTTTAGGGATAAAAATGTAATAATAGTATAAATTGAATGGATAAAATTGTCCATAACTTTAGAGTTTTCTATGTATTTTTAGGTAAATGGCCTATCCATTACTGGAGAGGAGTCTAACTCATTTAATTGATATATATATATCATATACTATTGAATAGTGAGACTATACTGGAGAGGAAAGTTAGGTAAAAAAGTAAAGGAAATACAATATACATTAATATTGATATCATTTTCATTTAAAATAATATTACATTTATACTCTTAGAATAAACCTGAAAAAATCATTTCTCTCCATTAAAGAGAAGTCTTACTCAGCATATACAATCTGATACTGCCACGATTATTGAAGGAAGAGTATATGGGGATAACTCTTTTAGCTAGAATGGGTGATTATTATTAGGAAAAAAAGGCAAAGGCAAAGCTTTTAAAAGGTTCTAGAATATGTGAAATGGCTTTTTCCACACTCGATTGAAATTATTGTTGTGTGATGATTTCTTAGCCATAAATGTGTTTTAGACCTCACTTTTTTTATTTAAAGAAAAAGGTCCTATTTCCTAGAGGATTTTCTAGTTGAGGGGCCAACCTTAGCTTCTATAGTTTGATTAATAATGAGTAGTTCTTAGAGTCTTCATAAACTATTAATGAGTTGATTAGCCAAATATAAATTGAGATTATTAGCATGGGAATCAACATTGCGTTAATCTAGTGGTGTAAAGATTCTTTATATTAACAGAAAGACCAAAAATCAATTGTTCGATTCCTAAGAGCCGACACTTGGTGAGATGGATAGCCACACACCCTGAAAGATATTAATTCCTTACCAAAGATAAGTTGGTTGGTAGTACCAAGAAAAATTATTACCATCCATGTTCATCATGCATATCATACATAGTGATGGAGGGCCATTTGTTTGCTTGATTTTTTGGTCATTTATCAATATGGGACCTTTCTAGTTGGAATATAGATATATAGCAGAGACGTTTCAAATTAAAAGTTCCTTTATTTGAAGCTATTATTGAGTCCCTCAACTAAAAGAAAGTTGATGACCCCATAACTTAGTGGTTTCTCCTCTTCTCTGCTTTGTTTATCAATTTCTCTTATTTTTCTTTGCTCACGGACCTTAAAGATTATGGAACTCTTTTTTTTTTGTAGGAGCCAATGTATCCCTATTCGATAGCCAAAGACTAATTCATTTCGAGGTGCGGAAATCATTAAAGCTAGTTTTATTACTACCACAATTTTTTCATACACAAGGTAGAGATCAGAACTCTAACATGGTTATATTGTTAAATATGGTTGATGGAAGTACAAAGCAACAAAAAGGGGAAGTACAAGCAACAACTGGCATTATTATTTCCAGAATGATAAGGGTCCCCAGATTGAGACATAGCATAATGCTACTTGCATTTGTCCATCTCTGAAGTATGTACTCTTTCTACAATGCTTCTCAAATTTTATCCACATAGTTGATGAGAAATCTTTCCATCAATTCTAGAACACAATTTCAAGTCCATAATCTCAAAGAGAAAAGGATTGTAGACTAACATTATAAAGCATGTGATAGGATCATTCAAACTCTGATAATAGCATGTGAAAAGAAATTGTTTTTAAGGTCTTGAGTATCTTGTACTTAACATTCTTTTGGTTTCATATTAATTTTACTAAATAATTTATTATCTCATCCTTGTTTCACTGAATAACTTGCCAAAACCATGAAAAGGTGGATGGTGTCCTAATAGGTGAAAATCTATGCTGCTTTTCCTTTTCATTTTTCCATTATCCTTATTGGGGAATCTGGGTAGTGGTGGTGGGACAGGAATCACTTTAGAAACTCTCAAATGCTTTCTTTAAGAAAGTTTGCTTGAGAAACTGGCAATCATGTTTAGGTGAACAGAAAAGTGAAAACAAATCTTAGAAGAAAAAAGGTATAAGGTTTGAACAAAACATAGAAACTTAACTGGTTGTAATTCCTAAAAATCAGAATGTCATGGTATTGTACAAAAAGCTCCTACATGATTAATCAGTGACCCCTTCTAAGTTGTAAGTAAATAAATCATTACAAATATATAAACAAATATGAGGCAGTAAGATCTCTATAAAACTGTATAAAATGGAGGTAAGGCAAATAAGGAAGATGGTGTTACAAAGCAATAGACAGATCAAGTGGTTCTGGTGTTAAAGGACTCGGGAAAACGAAAGTTTGAAGCAACTAATACTAACAATCTAGTGCTCTCCTCTCCGGTTAATCAGAAATTTGCTTTTGTCTATTGATATTCATTACCAACTTTTTCTACAGAAAGAGGATCAAGATGCGCTTGGCGAACAAATTGTCCTTTCACCCTCGGACGCTGCTCTGCTAGTTTCTTTCTGCTCTCATATCGAACCTGTTAACATGTATAACAAAATGTTAGATATGATGAAAAACTTTTGAAACAATGATGGTCATGCTAATAAAAGGTTAGCGTAATAATAATGTACCTTCTTCTCATAGCATCTCTCCTTCCGCTTCAAGCGAAACTTGTTTAGAGCTGCTTCTCTCAGGGTAGATCGATGAGAACTTCCATTGTTTGTGAGGTCTTCATTATTATCCTCTGAAGCTGACCTCACAGTGGCAATTTGATCAAAATTGCTGCTAATTCCATAATTGCTTCCATAGCCGGTGTGATTTACATGGCTTGCATTTTCATTACAGAAACTACTCAATACACTTAGATTATTTGCAGGAGAGATACGTTCTCGATCCTCCAAATATTCTGATTCGTGTCTCTGTGTGTACACCATGTGGTTTTGGGTGCTGTTTCCATCAGGGCCATGAGGTTCATAAAGCTTCTCAGAACTGTTTTCTATAATGTTTGACGGATAAAATGCATTTAATTGAAAGGAAGGTTCAAGGATCACAACTGAACTAGGACTTGACATTGATGGTGGACCTGATTGAGTACAAAACATCGGAGGAAGTACAGAACCATAGGCTGCACATATATCATTAAACCTTACACCTTTTACTGGAATTGGGGGAGACTGGCCTTGTTGGGAATGTGAAGTTGCAAAATCAGATTCTTTTGATTGGGTTGTAGCTGGAGACATAATACATCTTTGCATAGTAGATGTGGAACTATCTGAGTTGCAGCCGGTAGAGATATGGGGCATACTTTTCCCACAATTTGTTCTTTGGTCTCTTTGTTGATCAGAGAAGTTAACCAACACTGCAGGTGCGGCTTGCAATGGCGGCCTGTTAGTATACCTGCATGAAACATTGAAACTTCACCTCAATGACAAATCGACAACCATATAAATATCCAACAGGACATGAACTTTTCGTTTTATATTTATGGGAATTTTATATCATCTTTTAAATTACTCAAAATAATTATCACCGAACAACATTCACCGTTTTTTAATATATTTAACCAGGTACTTTAACAAAACTCAAAATCCAGCACTTCATAACTTAGATTGAAGATATGGTACTTCCACATCTGTTGATTTGTTTCAAGGCATTGCGTCCCTAGAATTCATTTATACTAAAGACGTGCAGCTATTTAAAAGAAACCAGCTAATTTATATTAGTTTATAAATACTACAAGTGGCTTTCAAAAGTGTTAAAATGTCGGAAAAGGAAAAGAGAAGAACAACAAAGGGTTTCAGCAATTACCGCTTGAAAGCCGAGGCATTAGAATGCATGAGGGTGTGTCTTTCTTCAGAGAGTTCATTCTGAAAGTTGCAAGGTTGAGATCTTCTCAGGGAAAGATCCAACTGTGGAGAAAAGTCAAATTTGCCCGTGCAATCAACTGTGGAATTTTTGAGACTGCAGTTTGGAAGAGTTTGAAATGCTCCAATCAAGTCAATAGCTTCCTTAAAAGAGCTAATTTGAACATAGTCATTGTCATGAGCCTCACCACTAATGTTAGCACCCCTAAAATGCTCGTGCTCACCATCCTTGCCACTAGTTGTGCTTGCCTCACCATCTTTGGAGATATCCATGGTTAATCCTGAAAAATAAAAGTTATATCCATGGTTAATCCTGAAAAATACAAGTTTCCTAAAATTTTAGATATCCTTCCTAGTAAAGTAGAACGATGATTATTGCAGTAAGGGACAGAAATATACCTCCATCATGACTATCATGCTTGATCAATGTCTGGCCTAAACGAATGCATGTTTCAACCTCTTGTATATTTGTTCCACTTGGACATGCTTCACCACATGTCAGCGGAGATGATTCCCTCAAGGTTTCAACAGGGTCACTCTCAACTTCCAAGTCGGGCTTTGTACAAGAGCTCTGCAAGAGACAGCAAACATTCAGCCTCTATATGAAAACTTTATCTAGCCAACACAAACTGAAAGCAAATTCCTTTTAACTATAAGAGGCTTACAGAACTAGACAAATATGCCCTGGAAAACAATATGCATTTGGTGTTCTACCATAACAAGGCGCATTGTGAATAAGTTGGAAAGGAAATTTACACAAGAAATAAGATCTGCTATAATTTCCAAGCAGAACAGTGACAAGCATGCAAAAGGGTCAACATAAAGGATAATAAAATGACTCATCTAAAATCCACAGCCTCTGGTGACAACATACCAAACTATTTGAACTGTATCCGCTTTGTAATAAATGTCTTGAAAGGTTCTTATAACAAACAACAATGATATTTATAGAAATCAATAAATTCTAGATTTGGAAAACTAACATGTGCATCACTTCCTTTCTCAATCAGTTCCTTATTTCTCTTGATGGAAGCACCACCACCAATTGAACGATTACTGGTAGCATTGTTTTCAGCAGTGACTTCAACTTTCTGCTGTGAAGCACTCTCTTCTTGGGAGCCACTCACACCAATGGTTGACTGACAGAATAAATAAAAATTAATCAGAAATTCGACTAGCCATCGATAACATTAGAGTATTTAAGAGAAAAACGGAAAAAGAACTGCAAAATGAGTGCGCAGAAGTCCTACCGATTGTCTTCTCCAAACATGCTGCCACAAATTCTTTAGTTCATTTTTTCTAAGGGGCTTAACAAGATAGTCAGCAGCACCTCTCAACATGCATTTGTATACCGTGCTAACCGAATCTTGTGATGACATCACTGGAAAATCATAAAAAGAAATCCATAAAGGTTAGTTTAAAAGTATTAATAAAGTGGAAAATTCAATAATTTAACAGATAAAATATTTATCTTCAATTTCATACTTATGACAGGGATGTTTTTGCAAATATCATGCTCCATTATTAATGTGAGAAGTGCATAGCCAGATATGGATGGAAGATCCACTTCTGTGAGTATTAGATCAATATTGTGTGGCCTTCCCTTGAGTATTTCCCATGCCTTCAAGCCATCTGAAACAGCAGCCACTGCTCAAAGAAGAAAAAAAGCAAAGTTATTTTGAGCATGTAACTAAGTTTTAAGTTCTCAAGTTTCTCAAATCAAAAGCCTCAAACAAAAAGGAAAAGTAGATAACTGAAAAATTAATACTTATTCCTTAATATCATATACCCAAAATTGAACTGAATCACCACCTACCCCTCTTCCACTACACTAACAACAAAGAAAATAACTTTTTCTCATTGAAACCATGAAATTGAAGGAAAGAAGAAATTTGATAGAAATTTTTTTTACCTTTATAGCTGCATTTTCTTAGAAGAGCTGATATAATCTGCCTAGTAGAATCATCAGCTTCAACCAACAGAACCCTTAACACCATCTTTGGTAAGAACTTCTCCCACTTCATCAACCCCTTCAATTCTTTTATCCTCTCTTCTTCTTTCTCCACTCCTACTAACTTCAACTTCTCTCCATTCATCACTACATCACCCATTTTTAACATATTCACAATAATAGTTGTTACTATTATGAAACAATAATCTTCCTCTTCTTCAAAGTTCAAACCAGAACCTTAAAGACTCAATTTTGAAGGGTGAATAAAAGAATAAAAGATTTTTAAGGTTTAGTTACTTTAACAGTGGGTTGAACATAATCCTACGGTGTATGATCAGACACCAATGTTAACTGCCACTCAATCCTACGGTTCACGAAAATATCATCTTGTCTAGAAAAATATCTAAGACTATGTAGAAGCTATGGGCCCACATGTTCCACGTCATGAATGAGATCTAATTTTCTGCCACAAATCTAAAGCAAAAGACTCATTGGGTTGTCATAGGTGGGTTCTTTATTAGTGGATATTATTTCCATACCAACTTTTATTTTTTCTTTGGTAATCTGTTTCTTTATTTGTGCCTTTCATTTAATCAAAAATATCAAAGAATTGGTGTGTGGAAATGGCGCTACGTGGGGACCGCTAAAGGGAAGAGTAGATCTATTAAAATAGAGTAATGTTATATGCTCCTATTAAAATTTTCTACTCTAAATGGATATTTTATTTATTAGTGATTGGTTTAAAAGTGACATATATCAATTTCTTGTGTGTATGAAAATTAGCATTATGATTTAGTAGAAGTATATATCATTTTTCATTAAAATATAAACTACTGTTATAGA